ATAAATGGTAATTTGGTATGCTTAAATGTAATTAACACAATCCTTAAACAATGAAGGTAATAATTATACCATTTTGGAAAGCTGCATCCGCCTCCCTTCTGATACGTTTGGCAAGCTCATTCTTACTCTGTTGAACCTGGAAAGAAAGTCCCTGAGTCCCTCACCAGGTGATTATCTGACAGCGAATATGTCATTCACCCTGGCCTCCGCCTTCTTAGCCTCAACGTGGGCGGTGACTAACTTAGCGGCCATTTCCTCGAACGTTGTTATTGAGCGTACTGGTAATTATGAGTACCATGTTAAGGCTCCCCCTATTAGGGTTTTGCCGAACTTCTTCAGCAACACTGATGGTACCTGCTATTTTGAGAGGTCGTTATCTTTTACTGTTGTGACATAACGAATGATGTAATCTTCGGGGTCTGTTGTGCCATCGTATATCTTCAAATATGGTGGCATTTTGAAGGTCTTGGGTATGGCGTGTGGGGATGCTTCTTCGCTGTACGGTTGTTCAACGAACCAGCCGATGTCCCGTTTTGGTAGCAGTTTCGGGGCGCCCGATATCTTATCAACCCTTTCTTGATGCTCCCTCATTTGGTCGCGGAGCGCTTTATTTTCGTTCTCCATTTCTTCCATTTTCTTCAGAATGGACGCAAACGCGTTATCACCTGCATCAATAGTGGTGTGAGTGTTACCTGTTGGGGGAGCAATGTTCTCGTTGGTTGTTGTTGTGGTGTCCTCTTGTGCGACACTTCCATTCACCCCTTGAACGAGTTTGTCGAGTATGTTGTTTAGAGTACTTGTTAGCCACACCTCCAGTAGTTTTTTCACTGCTGGTGGCGCTTCCTCAACTGTGGACGTGGAGGCTCCCCTTTCTCGTGAAGCGGTTATACTTCAATGAGGGAGAGGTGAGTTACTCCGCCTAGGTGTAGCGCTCGACACATTCTCCTCGTCTTCTCTACCAACCTCGTTGATGTGGTTCAGGAGGTTGGCAGTAACATCCGTTACTGCTTTCAGTCTTTCATCTCCTTTTCCTGCCATTGTTAGTTCGTACAAATGAGAAAGAGATGGCTGTTGTTTTTTTTTATCTAGAAGAAACTAAAATTTTAACTAGAAACTCCCCACAGATGACGCCAAATTGTTTTACTAAAAAAGTGCTAAACCTTTTCTTAAAACGAATTAATGTGAAAATAGAGGGTGGATCCTAGTTAAAAATAATAACCGCTAGATCTAACGTTTAGGAGTATTAATGATGTAGGGTAGAATCTGAAAATGTAGTATACCAACTACAAATGCTCAATGATTGTTAATGAATATAGTAATAAAAACATGCAATAAATGTGGATAATGGCAATAAACGTAATAAGGAGGAATTTATCACCCAAATGTTAAAGGACTTGGATGATTCTCCTTCATGATAACAAGGTGGAGTTATAGGAAATGAATATGGATAAGGAATCTCTGGATCTTGTGAACAAAAAACTTATATCGAACAATATAGTCAGTAGACAAGACAAGCTTTTGTATATTCTTTGTAGTCAACCCTTTACAATGTGTTCTTATCAGAAAGGTGAAGATCCTTTTTTTGTTCTTTATCCCTTCCTATTTATATGAGATATTCCTAAGAAACCCTAAAAAGTACAGAATATCTAATATAATATTCTTTTTTTTCTATTCTAGACTTATTTACCATTGCTTCCCTACACTCCTTGCTTGACCTCGGCGCTAATCCCTCTTAAGACGACTCCTCACCTTTGTGCCGTAGTCGGCTTAATTCTCGACCACGTCCATTTGCAGTTATTAAATCCAGTCCAAATTTTGACCAATACAATTTTCTAACGAATTATTATGCCCAATAATGTGCTTAATTATTTCATGCTGATATGATATGAAATTAAATTACTCCTATATGCTTATTTAATACTTAGATGAAATAAGATTATCCATTCTGACTGAAAATAGTAGCTATGAGAGTCGATATATACGATGAATCGCTGTATATGATAACTGAATTTTTGAAAAAATAAATAAGTAGGTGTTTGGACATAAAAATTGTAATTTTTTTTAAAAAAAATAGTATTTAGAATTAAGTTAAAAAATAGGATTTGAAATTTAAAATTATGTTTGTATATACATTTCACTTGAAAAAATATTACAGTCTTGTGAATGGAAAATTTTAAAAAACTACTTTCGAAAAAATTTCTATGAACTTACAAAATTTCAATGACAAACACATTTTTGAAAAAAATATTTCAATTTTATTTTTATTGTTATGGACAAACAGATCCTAAATATTTTTTGATAAAGGTAAAGGCGGAAAAACAAAGGGCTTTTTTAATTTCATAGCAGCCCAAACCCCAAAGGACACGAACTACTCTGGCTCTATGTGAGACGGAAAAAAGAAAGTCATGAAACTAAAACTAAAAGAATAAGAAAATAGGTTCTCGTGTTATTGGTCAGTGGTATTTCCGTGATATTACAGAAATAATGAGGCATATTCAAATATTCCCCGATATATATTAACGTCAGGAGTGACGTGTCAGGCTCATCAATTCCGAAATCAAAACGAGTCTTCCAAACCCTACACTCTACGCCCTTCCTTTTGAAAAGAGAAACACACCGTCCTTCAATCTCTACCGTCCAATATTCAGCCACGTCATCAATCCGCGTCTCTAAATATACGGCTGCAAGTCGGTCTCCAAACAAACACATATTAACCCTGTACTCGGGTTAGTTAACTCAACCCTGATTACTCTTGTTCCCCAAACCCTGACTCGGCCTCGAGTTTTCTCGACTCGCCTCCCCTAATATATCAAGCGATAGAGTGAAGAGTTTTTAGAGAGAGAAACTAGAGAGAGAAAGAAAAAGAAGAAAAATTAGGTTTTCTATATGTATTCTCATTTGCCGTAGAAGATACCGGAAAAGGTTGTGGAATTTAACTTCTAGTCCTGAATTTTATCTATATTCCAATTTAGTCCCATAGTTTTTAGAAAATTCGTAATCATATGAGTTCTGGCTCTGATTAATGGACGAGATTTGGGAGAGAGCGGTGGAGACGGCGTTAGACGGCGAGAGAAACTTCGGTTCTGTGCGAACCCTAACGTTAGACGGAGCCGTTAAGTGTATTCATGGTAAGTTACCTCCTCCGTCGATTTTTGAGAAGTTTCAGAATCTCGAGCACCTGTCGATTGCAAACATCGGTGTTTCGTCGCTAGAACAGTTTCCTCGGCTACAGAATCTGCAGAAGTTAATTTTATCGGACAATAGAATCGCCGGAGGCCTCGAGTTCCTCGTAGATGCTGGTTTAAATTCACTCCGGGACCTCGATTTGTCGAATAATCGGATTCAGGATATCGGCGATCTCCGCCCGTTGGCTGAACTCCGCCTTGTGTCGCTTGATCTTTATGAGTGTCCGGTTACGCGAGTTAAGGACTATCGATCTAGGGTATTTGGATTGATTAGGTCGTTGAAGTATTTGGATAAGATGGATGCGGAGGGGAACGAGAGGCCGGAGTCGGATGATGAGGAGGAAGATGAAGAGGAGGATGAAGAGGATGATCCGGGGAGTGGGGAAGTTGATGGAGAAGATCGGCCTTACAGGATGAATAATGGACACAGGGTTGGGAGTGAAGGAGTTGTAGATGTGGATGAGGATGAGAGTGATGCTGATGAGGAAGAAATGGAGATAACTCGAGGGATTAATGGGTCGAAACATGATGGTTCGAGTTCGACTCACCACTCAAATGGTTTTCGAGTAGAGGCGGTTGGGGATGGAGACGAGGAGGAGGATGATGAGGATGATGACGATGAGGATTTTGTGGAGGAGATAGATGAAGAGGGTGATGAGGAGGATGTAGTGGAGGTTCATGAAATAGAAGACAGTGATGAAGAGGAGGATGGTGTGGAAGATGACGAGGACGATGATGATGATGACGATGATGAAGAGGATGAGGAGGAAGTTGATAATGATGATGGCGATTTTGCGGAGCCGGAGAGCACGGGGAGGTTAAATAGCACTGAAGGGGAGATTGATGGGCATGAGCAGGGGGAAGATGATGCAGATGAGGATGATGATGGGGAGACAGGGGAGGAGGAGCAAGGTGTTGAGGAAGATGGCGATTTCGATGATGAAGAGGAGGCTGAAGATGAGGTGAAAATCTCTCCTGTTTTATGTAGTTATGTTTTCATTTTAATGTGATATATGTCATAGCTGGTTGTTTGATTAGAAGGCTTTCTTGCTAGTCTATATTAAGTGTAATTTATTCTGTTTTATTTGATACTGTGTGGATTGTTTATTTTGTGTGTTACTTTTGTTAATTTCTCTTGCTATTTGTTTTCTAAGATATGCATGTCCTGCAATGTTTGACAATTCTTTTCTAATTTATGGTATTTTCTTGCTTCAATCTGCGTGATTCATGTGCTTATTGCTGCCGAAGAATTGTCATCTTATTTGATCTCCATAACCATTGATCAATTTGATCGTTACATGATTGTTGCTGGAAATACCAGTAATTTTTGGTAGCATATTGGTTAGAAAGTCTTGTTATATCAGATTACCCCCAAAAGAAATATTAATTTCATGTTAGTATGAACCTGGAAGTTTTGGTGCACAGGTGGTTTCCGTTGCCACATTGGAAACCAAGCTGATATTGTGAATCCTTTTTTTTTTGAAAAGTGGTAATTTCTTATTAGATCAAGGTGGTGTGGAATATTTATATTATTTCTGCTTGAATTGTGTTATTCTACAGAAGAGTGACTAAAGAGGGATTAATCAGAAGTTGGTAAGAGGGGAATAACTTTTGGCACGATTTATTTGTGTGAGGTCTTGACCATAATTTGGTTATTCTACCCAAGTTTTATGCAAATGCTCATAAAAAACATGCCTGCAAAAAAAGGTTCCAGTTGGATTACATTTTGATTTGTGAGAGATTTTCTGAGAATTCTCTTTAGAGTTTCTCTCTCAATTTTTATACTTGCAAACTGAATGCTAAGGCTCTAAGTGCAGTGATCTAGATTCACAATTTTCCTTGTCTTTTGTGGGTCTGCTTTTGTGCCATCTCTTTGTTCCGCCTTTCTTCCTTATAGCTTATTGTTTTTATGCACAATCTCTTGATTTCCAAAATTTTGGAATCTAAAGTTTGCTGTGATCTGCCCTGTCCCCATTGAGCTTGTTTCTCTTGGAAGAAACTTCCTTGAACCTCTTTTTTGGGGGGTTATCTCCTCCTGGCTTAAGATAGTATTATCAGTTACTTACAAAAGGGGTGTCGGATTATGGTGTTTTTAGTTTTTCATCTTTTTGTTGGTTTTAAATTGATGTACTTTAATGGATCTCCGACCAATTCATTTTTCGGACTTTTACTTTTCTGCCATCATATCCCGTAGAGGTGACCATGTCAATTGCCAAAGTATAGGGAATGTTACCTTGTCGAATCTGCTGCTTATGTGCTATTCTGCATTTTCTTAGTTTTCATCAAGTGATTTTCTATTTTCTGACTAAAAATTCGTTTTTTTGTTTTTTCCCTTTTCTGTCATTATATATCATTATCTTCCTTTTTTTCCCGGAAAGGACTGTTTGATTTTGCTGCTAAGGTATATGCGATAATTTGGTGGTGTTGAATTCACTGCTTATGTTACTTTCCACTTTTCTGCCTTGGTGTCGTAATGGTTATTTTATATTTTTTTTTTTCTTACTGCTAAAAGATATGTTTTCTGAGTTCTATTGGCCTAGCTTCGTTTGCATATTTAAATGATCTACTTCCACAGATGTGTTTTATGGCCTTTTGATTTTATCTGAACCTTGGTAATTGTTTTATGGTTAATTTGGTGATCATTATCTTGTTATCACCTTAAAATTTTGCATCTTAGGGTTTTGCAGTATATCAGTTGACCACCCTTATCTAGGTTTGTGGAGCTTACTATGCTAATTTTCATTTAAATGGCAGGAGGAAGATAATGGCAATGGCTACCTTGTTCAACCAGTTGGTCCTATTGAAGTAGATGATGCTGAAGGCAGTGATATGGAGCCAGTAAATGGTGATGAAGATCCTGAGTTGGAGGAAGAAGTTGAAGATGAAGAGGACGACTATGGTGAAGTTCAAGAGGTGCCACCTTCCTCCTCTCAAAAGAGGAAGCGGGATGATGACGATGATGATGATGGTGGTGAAGAAGATGATGATGAAGAGTATGCAAAGTCATCCAAGCATCGTTAGTGACTTTATCTGTGGTGGGTTTGACGAAAGTGATGAACTTGAGGAATAGATTTGTCTGGAGGCTGGAAGTAGTTGACTGTTGAACGTCTTTTCATGGACAGAACACATGTTTTGGTGGGAAATTCAGGTCTGAGAGGTATACAAATGTTCAAAAGGTCGTTAGTAAATATTGGCCGTTGGGTTGTGATTCAAATGGCAGTTGATGGGGAGATCCAATCCGCTTCATGAGTAGGTTATTGGAGGGGAATTTGAATTGGGGAAAAGCTAAAAAGAAAACCTCTGCTAGTTCAACAATAGAAGTAGTGATAGAATTTGTTTTCCGCCTTTTTTCTTGAATTTTAAAAAGGACGCTTTGCTTTTCCTGGGGGATAGTTTTTAATTGGCTTGTAAAACAGTCTTGTGGATAGTTGTCTCAGTTAAGTGTGACCGTTTATCATTGTGATGAGTCCGTCCTTTGATCCAATTATGTCACATGCAATTTGCTGTCAGCCTACTTTTACATCTAATTTTTTTTGGCAACTTGCAGGTGGTGCCAGGTGGCAGCTGTTTGTGTGTCAGTTGATTGCACCTATTCGCTGATCTTCCAACCATGTGACCGAGCAATGATATTGTACCAACCGGTCGAGAATTTCGTTAGATAAAAAAAAAATAAAGAGAAAAAAAGCAATGGTCCCATACGCAAAAAAAGGGATAGAAGAAAATCCGCGCTTATATTCTGTTATAAAATTCTATACCACTAGCCAGCCCATCAGTTTTGTGCCATCTCGGGTATCTTCAAAGCAGATTTTTGGCCCTCGTAAAAATATTTTTGGGCTTGGAAGCCCAAAACTGTGGGTGGTCAAATGATGGATATGCGCCTTGAATAGATTGAGCTGCTACGTTAGAAGGTGATTAAGGGTAGAGCAGGCCAATGAGTGTACTGAGTTTGGGCCGGCTTAAGTATAGCAGGATTCGGCCTGCCTTGGGTTTTCCATCAAAACTTTGGTCCACGCTGTCAACGCGCGTGAACTTCACAAGCTGGTTGCGACAAAATGGGATTCCTCTTGTTTGTTTATTTGTACTTGTACCAAATTACGTTACAAAGAGATGCAGCGTGTGTGCGCTTGGATTTGTATTTAATTTCTTGAACTTTGATTATTGAATTCAAATCAATGGTAATACATCCATCCTTATTTCTTCCTTCCTCACCCGGACTCCTGCACTCC